TACTCGTGTACAAATTTTGAGATTTTTATTTTTAGCCGATTTGAAGATAATTAAAGAAAACCATTTGGAAAGTAACAACTTCAACACACTGTATCTCGAAAACAGGGCGTCTAAAAAAGCGTTACATGAACTACCCCCATTATTTGAGGAACTTGCACACAAGTTTTTTTAACACACCCTGTATTTTAAAATATATTTATATATTTGAGATTTAAAACAAATAAAGCATCTATCTATTCATATCCGTAAATGTTTGACTGTTAATTCCACATAATTTTAAGGTTACTGACTATTTCAAAAATTGGATCAATGAATTTAATTTCTAATGTTATTTCGGAGAAAAAAAGCACATCTCTCAGTAATAACTGAATCTTAATATTTCTCTAAAACTATTCACATCACATACAGGAATTTTATTTACTCTGTAGGTACTTATCATACTAAAAAAATGACTGGCGTAGAAATTAATTTTTTTTGGTGGGGGGGATGTAAATTTTTCTAATTCTTCGGATAATCAAGCAATTCTACCAAAATTTCTTCTGTTAGTTTCTCTACATGTAAAATTATGTTTCGAATACAAAATTTGTGTACATGTTTATTGTGAAACGGATAATTTTAGAGATATTTTTTAATTATTCATCACTGCTGTAAGCTTCTTGAAATTTAAAACATAACTTTAAAATCAAAGACACAATAANGACGACACTGCTTTTCTGAAATAAACCATTTGCCACATTATTCTTAACCCACAGTTCATTACTCGTGTACAAATTTTGAGATTTTTATTTTTAGCCGATGTGAAGATAATTAAAGAAAACCATTTGGAAAGTAACAACTTCAACACACTGTATCTTGAAAACAGGGCGTCTAAAAAAACGTTACATGAACTACCTCCATTATTTGAGGAACTTGCACACAAGTAACACCCTGTATATTAAAATATATTTATATATTTGAGATTTAAAACAAATAAAGCATCTATCTATTCATATCCGTAAATGTTTGACTGTTAATTCCACATAATTTTAAGGTTACTGACTATTTCAAAAATTGGATCAATGAATTTAATTTCTAATGTTATTTCGGAGAAAAAAAGCACATCTCTCAGTAATAACTGAATCTTAATATTTCTCTAAAACTATTCACATCACATACAGGAATTTTATTTACTCTGTAGGTACTTATCATACTAAAAAAATGACTGGCGTAGAAATTAATTTTTTTTGGTGGGGGGGATGTAAATTTTTCTAATTCTTCGGATAATCAAGCAATTCTACCAAAATTTCTTCTGTTAGTTTCTCTACATGTAAAATTATGTTTCGAATACAAAATTTGTGTACATGTTTATTGTGAAACGGATAATTTTAGAGATATTTTTTAATTATTCATCACTGCTGTAAGCTTCTTGAAATTTAAAACATAACTTTAAAATCAAAGACACAATAAAAATTAAATGCAAAGTGTTACATTTTTCTACAAAACTGGCATTTTTTAGTTATTTATCAGGTATATCTAATTTCACAATTGAAAACACTAAATATATGTTGTCTAAATACTGATTAGTGACTGATTAGGTATGTAGGGATGAACATATAGATATTTGGAAATACATATTACAGTTTATAGAAATTTACCTAAGAATAAGTACTGAAATCTAATATGGCCAATGAAAAATTTAAAATCATGAATGATAGTATTCCCTATATTTTTTCAAAAGCAGCTAGATGTACTGTCTTTAATTATTATTTATTCGTGGCATAGTTTTTTTTCTCTTTTTACTTGATTCTTTGGCAAAATGTGAAACAAAGTAATAAATACATATTAATCAAACGTATCCTTGCTCCAAAAGGATACGTTTGATTTGATTTGGTAAGTTTGATACGAGGAAAAAGCAGATATAGGTATGTGAAAGAGAAGTATCATTCCCGATTTTGAGAAAGAAAAGAGGATGATTATCACAACGTTGATTAACTCACATATGCGGTTTTATTGGCCAGTTTTTTTTTCAGTATGATATTTTTGGCTAGGCAAAATAGCTTCATAAAGTAACCATTAACTGATCGTTTTGTCGCAAGGGTTTCTCTAATTAATTTTTTAAAATAAACGGAAAAGCAACTAGGTGCATTAAAAAAAATATAAAATCTATCTACTTTACTTAAACTAGCTGAAATATTAAAAAAAAATTTTTTTGAAAATTATATTTATTTTCTACAACACATTACATCACAAAGATCTACCAGATGGTGCGAGCTACAACACCTGGGGCGGCATAAGAGGACACGATGGGAGCGCTGTAGGCAGCCACAGCAGGGGCGGCGTATGCTGCAACAGCAGGGCTGGCAAGGATCCTTCCGGTAGCGATGGTTCCTGAGGGTCCTGCTACTACGGTTTGTTCACCGACTAATCCAGCGCCTACTACGGGAGCAGAATAGGCAGACACTACAGGGGCGGAATAGGCGGACACCAAGGGCGCCCCTGGCAAAATTTCGGCGCTGGCGACAGCGAAGAGGGTGAAGAATGCAACAAGCACCTAATTCAAAACGTATATATAAGTAATAATTTCGGTTACGAAGTAATTAAAATACCTACGAAGGAGTTCATTGTGATGTATGTTTGGTTTGCAGTTTCTTAGAGTTAACTGATGTGGTCCGTCAGTGAATTATGTGCTTTTATACGATAGATTTTCGCAGGTTAGCCTTGATTTTAGGATAATATGTAAATCAAGTGAGTCAATGGTGCCGGTTATAGTATAGTATTTGTGCGTAGACTTCTGGTAGCGATTGCGATAAATTTATAATGGGAAACTCGACCGTTTTATCTTTATTGTCAAATTTATAAAATAGGCATGGCATTAATTTAAATATCCACGTGTATTTACTCATTTGGTATACAAAAATTAATTGCAGATTAACAAATTATCGTCCTTAAGTTTGTCAATCAAAAATTATTAATTAAGAGGCATGAAACTATATTTGCCTCAAATGATGTTTAATTAAGAAGAGTTTTATAAAAATTGGTACTCTATTTGTTTAAATTTGTTAAATAGCTTTGCTGGTATGTTCTTGGTGTAACTCCTTTGCATAGCATGTTTTCTTATATTGACTCAAATATATTTGTTGTAAGGAGATAATAGTCTTTTTCAAATTAAAAGGGGTTTATCATTTTTTGTATTAATGAATAGACGGAAATATACTTATATTTTTTCAATTAGTCGTATTAGATACACTCTAAGAAATTTTGTTGCCACAACTGAAATTATGATTAATATGATCACATTATATTGTTAAAATAGGGACAAACATGTCATATAGTTAAACTAGCAAAATATGATAACCCTGGCATTGTCAAATTAACAATAAATTATGGTAATAGACACGACATCCAGACTGTTTATGATAACTATATGTTAGTTTATTATTACCATATATCAGTGGTTAATGCAACTATATTATTCATTAGGGGCGAGTATGTATTCCAGCATTTCTAGCAATGTAAGTATTCCCTTTATACTATTTTAATTTTTTTTATATTAACTTTAACGATCCAGTATTGTCTCTACAAATGAATGTATTTTGTTACCACAACAGTATGATTTTAGCGTTCAGAACAATATGAAATTGTTAACAAGTAGTAACTTCAAATAAATATTTGAGTATTGTGTTCTATGGAGAAAATCCTACAAGAAACAATCGATTAATTTGACAAATCCAGTGTATATTGAAAACCAATCGAGTTAGCCATAGTTTGTACATTAAACTAAGCCCGAAAAAAAGGAACATGGAACACGTATAGTCTATTATCTGCAATACCAAAAAATATATGTGCCAAGTAAATCTGTTGTAATGTACCTACTTACCAAACAAATATCAATTTGAAAATAAGTGAATTTATACCTATTTGTCGTTTTACCACAGAAATGAAAGAAAAATCTTCTTTACAACGGACATTAACCCCGATTTAGTAACTATGCAACAGGTGATGCCACGCTAACACGTCGGACATAATCCTACTAATACTAACTACGTAGTACATACGGTAGGATAAATGTGGAAATTATACCTACCTTCAAATTTCCCTATTAAATGAGGCAATACCCAATCATTTAATATTTTGGCCTTCATAACGTTCATATTTTACACAATAATATTATTGTCAAATTCAACATAAATATTATTATTAGAATCATATTTTATCAACAATATTATTATTGCTATAATAAATATTTACGATATATTGTTTTGATTTCTATAATTTCAGTTGATCCAAATATAAATTTTTCTAAAAAACAGTATTATAAATTTAACGATATATATTTTTTAGAGTGTATATTAAAACGTTATTCAATTGATCAAGATATTACAAGTCGCCATATTAGTGCAATATTTTTAAATCTTTCAATATACCGACCAATTTGTTTGTTTGATCGTCTCCAATTTCTTAATCTATTAATTAAAGGTCAATCAAGTCAATTATAATCTTGATTAATTGACTGGGTTAAAAATTGGTAGAATACTATAAATTGCCAGGTTTTGATGAATATCAACTGTATAAGTAGCTAATGATGTAATGGGAAACAACTACTCTGCGTGCTATAGCTCCGTCTATATTAGATATTCATCTAGTAAGCAGTTATGATCATTGGTCTGCAGAATCACCTGACATAGTCAGATTTCAAACTTATTAGTTCTCGTCAGTATGCCATAGGTGAGACGACCAATGAACGATTTCGCTATTTGAATGTATATATATCTACTACTACTACTGCTACTGCTTCAGTGTAGGTTATATCTCACTCACACTCAAACTACTCAGTGAGAACACGAACATAAAAATAATGTCTATTGATACGCGAACCCTCAGTTGAATAACCATTGAAATGTCCGGCTAATCCGTGTTATTTTCAACTAGAGTTTTGACACCATTTTACGGTTTTTCAAAACTACAATAACTCTCTTTTGAATCCTAATAACTTCATAGTTTGGAGCTATTTATAAACTAACATCCAAGCTGTACGAAATTTGTTGAGACAAAGTTCCAAGAAGACCTCTGNATATATTGTTTTGATTTCTATAATTTCAGTTGATCCAAATATAAATTTTTCTAAAAAACAGTATTATAAATTTAACGATATATATTTTTTAGAGTGTATATTAAAACGTTATTCAATTGATCAAGATATTACAAGTCGCCATATTAGTGCAATATTTTTAAATCTTTCAATATACCGACCAATTTGTTTGTTTCATCGTCTCCAATTTCTTAATCTATTTATTAAAGGTCAATCAAGTCAATTATACTCTTGATTAATTGACTGGGTTAAAAATTGGTAGAATACTATAAATTGCCAGGTTTTGATGAATATCAACTGTATAAGTAGCTAATGATGTAATGGGAAACAACTACTCTGCGTGCTATAGCTCCGTCTATATTAGATATTCATCTAGTAAGCAGTTATGATCATTGGTCTGCAGAATCACCTGACATAGTCAGATTTCAAACTTATTAGTTCTCGTCAGTATGCCATAGGTGAGACGACCAATGAACGATTTCGCTATTTGAATGTATATATATCTACTACTACTACTGCTACTGCTTCAGTGTAGGTTATATCTCACTCACACTCAAACTACTCAGTGAGAACACGAACATAAAAATAATGTCTATTGATACGCGAACCCTCAGTTGAATAACCATTGAAATGTCCGGCTAATCCGTGTTATTTTCAACTAGAGTTTTGACACCATTTTACGGTTTTTCAAAACTACAATAACTCTCTTTTGAATCCTAATAACTTCATAGTTTGGAGCTATTTATAAACTAACATCCAAGCTGTACGAAATTTGTTGAGACAAAGTTCCAAGAAGACCTCTGCGTCGCTTTCTTGGAATTAACCACATTCAACACCAGAGGTATAAAGACATTGGCGGCGTTGAGTTCACCGTAGCAACTTATAGTACATACTGTGCTTTGCAGTAGACGTATTTCTTCGTAAGTGTATATTGCCCTGTGCATTTTGAGTGTAATTTGTTATTAAAATGAATCAATGGAGGTGAAAAATAAAAGAAATCTTCCCAGTTCCCAGTCAAAGAGTATCGTATTTAACGTGTTTGTGTTTACCTTATATAGGTATATGAAAATAACGGGGAAAATTTCAAGGAAAATTGTCGCGGTAAATTGTTAAAGTAATTCCGATAACGGAGCTTTATTGACTTATTCT